GTGAGTGCGTGTGTGAGTGTGTGCGCGTGCGTGAGTGTGTGCGTGTGGGTGAGTGTGCGTGTGTGAGTGTGTGTGCGAGTGTGTGAGCGTGTGTGTGACTTCCCCAAGACCGCACCGCTGACTGACAGAACTGCTCTCGTTGGCACCTCCCATGTCCCACACTGTGCACTGGGCGCAAGAAAAATGTCCCCACTCCAGGGGAAAACAACAAATGAACACATTCAAGGCAGTATGGGAGGGAAGCGTCTTTCTTCTCGCCCTCCCAGCCTACCACCCCAACACTTACGCTTTCCAAACGCAACATTGCATACAAATAACGCTTATATTTATCATGCTTTGCAGTGTGGAGTTAAAATAGCAAAGTATCTCTGTTTAAGCTTCAATTACAGTGAATTTTGGAAAGTTAACCATATTCATATCCTTTTATTCAATTCATTCATCACTATGTTGCTAATAGCTGCTGAGCTCGCCGGAGCATGGCAGGATATAGAAACGACATAAATAAGACAGTCTCTCGTGGACATTTGTCCTCTCGTACTTGGGCTGCCCAGCAGCTGAGCGCCCCCTCCGTGTCTGGGAAATTTCCCTTCATACTTGTCATTAGTGTAGTACACCATGTTTTTCCAGAATCTTCTGGACACATAACAGGATTACACTTCCCATCCTCCTTAGAATTATGCATACCATTTAACTTGCTGTGGCAAATAAAATGAAAATGGAAGTGAGCTTTGTCGCGGCCAGCTGGTAATTTAAAAGCCAGTTCGCCAAGCTTTCTGTCTCTGGTAGAGTGAAAAACGATTTTGTTGTTGTTAATCCTAACCTGAGGATATTTTTTCCATTGAATTTTGGAGAGACGGAGAGAGGGAAGGAGGGAGGGAGGGAGGGACGGAGGGAGGGAGGGACGGAGGGAGAAAAATATCGCTGTGAGAGAGACACATCGACTGGTTGCTTCCACATGCGCCTGCAAACCAGGTATGGACCCTTGACTGGGAATTGAACCTGAGACCCTTCGGTGTGGGGGTGGACACTCTTACCACTGAGCAACACCAGCCAGGGCATGAAAAGCAGTTTTTGAGATGATGGCTGCTCTAGCAATCCAGGTTCTGGACAGATTATGATGAGCCCCAAATCAACCACTAATCTACAACTGATATATAGTGTAAAGAAAAAATATAAATATTTGTTGTTTTAAGCTATTGAGATTTGAGTGGTTGGTACGCCACATAAGCTAACCCACCTGACAGATGTACCCACCCTACGAGTCTTGAAGACAGAGTCAACCTCGAACTAAATAAAATGAAAATGTTAGAAGCTCGACTTTCCAGTCTCCGTTGCAGCTAAAGTGCTGTTTTCAGTGACGCTAATAGACGCTCACACTGAAGACTGTGTATCAGAAGCTGCTAGTGTTCAAAGTAAGGGAAGTTTTCTCCAGCATCTTGGCAGTACCAGGGATCAATATCTGACTTTGAACCTAGAGTTCACTAACTGAACCCTGGCAGAATCCTGCTGACCCACCAACCAGTAAGTGGGAGAAAAAATAAGTATCTGTTATTATACATCACTGAAAAGTTAAGACTCTAATTTAAATAAAATACATACATAAAGGATAACACAGATTCTATCCACTCACCACTGTGTTTTGAGATTCCATAAATCTACCGTGAAAAGATGATTCCTCCATTTTAATTGGAACTTAACAAGAGACCTCTCCAATAATTCAACTTAGGGAGAAAAAAAAGGAAATCATTATGTAAATAATTCCTGGCTTGAGTGTATTGTATAGTGAGTGTTCTCAATGGAGTTAGAGGCCACTTTGAGAGTAGGTGTGTGTGTGCATTT